TCTATATGAAAATAGGAATCCCTGTTTAAAGAATGGTAGTGAATATGTCAAGCAGCAGAAAAAAGAGGGGGATTAGAACGGTCGAAAACTTATGGTTAAAATATACAAAATTATCAAATGAAACCTCTGATAATATGACGGTTATTATTAATTTGAAAGTAGAAAGAATAAAAATATGAAAGTTATTAATGGGAATTAAATTGCTTTCTTGAGCATTCATAGAGATGGAAGCTAAAAAATTGTGTATTGCTGGTATTTTAGGTGAGTGCATCTTCATATGTAAACAATTAAAAACAGAAAAACTTCCGTTTTTAACATTGACCGTTTATTCTCTTTTATAGTGGTGTAGGTAAACTAAATTCTCGATGTCTGTTAGGCATGTCAGTTTTGTTATTCTTGATGCAGAAGTTAGAGAGTAAGGAGGAACATTGTTATGATGGCCGAGTTCATGTCGACCTAGCGTAGAATTGGAACGACCAAATAAAAGTTTGTACTTACTTCAATCTTGAAGCGTCGTCACGGTTACTATTATAGGATCTTACCCATAATAATAATAATGGACTATCCCATACTTAATAAATACTGCGCCTCAGGAGTAGGCAAGGGGGTCAGTAGTTCAAGTCGAGTCAAGAGTCGAGTCAGAGGCAGTCCGAAACAGAGTCTCGTTCAGACAATTACTTCAAGACATTGGAATAGTGATACTGCTCGAGACTACATTGTTCTCTTCAAATTTGTATATAGTTTAAATCAATGTTAAGGAATATTATAGTGCTTATTGTACTTTTATTTTATTTTATTTTATTTTTTAATTTCATTTTTATATGTACGGAAAATATATATATATATAGATAGATATATATACGCCATGTGTATTGACAATTAGTATCTTAATTTTGCGAATACGTCCAATTAAAGTTAACATGAAATAATGTTATGAAACAGGCTAAACGATAAAATGTGATAATAGGGTTGAGTTTAAGTATCCCTGCCAAAAGAAAAGGAAAAGTACAAATAAATTAAAAACGGCAAATGATTAAACCATACAATACTTAAGGAGAAGATTTAGGAAGATTAAGATTACCTCCTCGTTTATCTATCGAAACCGCAATCCACCGAAATAAGAAAAGAAGCCAGTCCCCATCGCGGGCCATTTAAAAGATATTTCGCGCACCTGATTGGTTGTTACAAACATCCAATCAGATGTGCGGAATATGTGGTCTTTCTTCCTCTTATTCTTTAAAAAGGCCAGAGTAGCTGTTAGCGTTTAATTGGAAGGGGGAATCAGGGGTTGATCTCCCCTGATTGGGTCGATTTGGTGATGGGGAGTATGATGTTGAAAGACCCAAAACTCCCTGATGAACCAAATCAAAACATCACTGACGACCGCCTTGGACGCCTACTTAAAAGCGTATTTGCGAATCTGCGAATCTGATTGTTCATACTAACACTTTCTACTTCTCTGCATATATTCCTGCTTGTAATATATCTGTGTTATTCCATACCTGTGTTCGAGTTCTTCTTTATTGGTTCTACCTTGGACTATCACCGTGGTACAAGGAATCCGGACCATAACAAGTGGCGACGAAGATTCGAATTCATTCGGTGGAAGAAAAAAAAATTTCGTTCGCCACAGTATAACAGTTACTATGATTGAGCTCAAGTCATCCTTGCGCTGAGTTGGAACGACCAAAGAAAAGATTGATTTACTAGGTGGGGTTTTGGAAGGCACGTACGAACGCCATATGTTGGAAATTGGAAAAAAGTATGTGGTCAGCTGACCGGGGAAAGTAACGTTCCCTTGCCGGAACGTACATTCCTGCTACATCTTAGAGTAAGGGGAAGGGAAAGGATCAGAAAAGAAAATATTTGTCTTCTTAACCAGTGACGCCTGATTAATTTAATTGTTGATTTTATCTGGCATCTCGTCTACAGTCACTTTCGCACAGACGTTCTGTGGCTTCCCTCTGTCTTTTCTACAAATATTTTCATGGCAACTGCTCTGACGAGCTACTTTCACTGTTTCCCAAATTGCATGAATTTAAGCGTGCTACTAGGTTGGCATCTCTGTCCCACCTTTTCTCTGTCAAAAAATTAAATGTAACAACTTCTTATCTCGCACTTCCCGACAGTGGAACTTTTTTCCTCTTACTTGCTTCCCTGATGGCTATAATCATAAAATATTAAACTGTAATGTCAATCGACATCTTCTAATACCATGATCATGATCCCCATCCTTTTCTTTTTCCTTTCCTCAAACACTCCTCTTTACTCTTACTCTCACTCTCTGTAACCCCTTGCGTGCTAGTGGCACTCCCGCCTTACTTGGGGTGATATGCTTAAAAAAAGAATCACGTGATAAAAGATTTCTACAATGCAGCACAATTTATTTTATTTTGATTTTTTTTTGTTTCTTTTTTACAATATTCTTGTCATTGTTGCTTGAATAGTTTCCATTTTTTTTTTATAATTACTGTTGCGTTTGTTTGGTGTTGAGAGGTCATCACAGGAGATAGAATAATTAGCAATTCTCGTGAAGTATCGTGCACCCTGGGATATGTTATTGCATGCACAATATCTTCTGCGGTGCGAGAACTGTCACATACATATTCAGTTTTAATACACTGATTTTCCTTAAGATGTTGTTCATATTCACGTTGTTCGAAATATCATTAAAGACACAATACATCGGCCATGTTCTCTCCGATCTGTTTAGCATTTCGTCTTTTTTCTTTTCTTTTTTTTTCGACCACAGATCTTTTTTTTTTTTTTTTATTGTTTCATACGGATCTCTTTTTTTATGTGATCTTTTTTTTAATTTTATTGTTACACCTCTCGCCTGTGAAACTCTCTACCTTCTTCCTGTTTCCCTGATAGCTATAATCTCCATTTATTCAACTGTAATGTCAATCGACGTCTCCAGATGCCCTGATCTATCCCCTATCCTTATCTTCATCCTTTTCTCTATCACTCCTATTTGCTCTCGCTCCAACTCTCTGTAACCCCTTGCGTTCTAGTGGCTTCCCGCCTTGCTTGGGGTGAAACGCGTAAAAAATAAAATGTTTTTTCGACGTTAGAGGTTCATTATTTTTTTGACGCTGCTTTTTGTCGTGACAGGGATTCCTTGTTTTATTTTCAGTGGGTTTCATTATTTGAGGGTGGGCTAAAAGGCGACTATTGCTAATTGTCTCTGTTATTATGATTACACTGTATAAGGACATATATATATATATATATATATATATATATATAGAGAGAGAGAGAGAGAGAGGAGGAGAGACCGACAGAGAGAGACAGACAGGCAGACAGGCAGAGGTAGAGAGAGAGAGATGCATACATACATACATACATAGACTTTGTTTGAAGTTATTAGCCGAAACAAATAAACCTCAATAACTCAAAAAGTTCTGAACCAAATTTGTCAAATTTAAACTCCTCCATTTCCATCCTTAGTAAAATATTTAATTAAATTCTCTGACATTTTTAATGGTTAGTTTTCATGATATTCCGAATTTGAAAAAATAGACTGACTGAAGTTATTAGGCGGATTAAACTAATATTAGCTGAAGACCTCTGAAATCTAATATTTTTTTTCTTTATGTCCATAATATATGTTGAAACATGGGTAAAGTGAGGGATGTAACGACTGCGTAAAAACAGAAAATAACAAAGTTATTGAGTGAAGGAATTTTCACATTGGAGATATCAAAGGAGTATTGCAGAGATCATCGAAAGATAAAGAAGGCTGTTGAAAATATAAATTGAGAATTTGAAGCAAAGAAAAAAGGTTTTAAGAACTCGATGCCTTGCGATGAACGTAAACTAAAGCCAGCTATAGCCAAAGAACCACTTTTAACAAACACTCAGATAAACAATACTTTGTGAATTGGGATCTGCAAAAAAAAAAAGACAACCTCCTCTCACTAAAGCAAATGTTTTAACGCGTCAAAATTGTGCAAAGAAGAACATTAAAATTGACTTTTCTAAGCAAGGGGGTAGAAATATAAATGCAATAGAATCCCTGACAACCTGATTAAGAAGGCGTTCCTGATATGAGGAATTGGTTACAAAGTCCGGATATGAGGCGGTTATATTTAGATTAAAATAAAAGAACTAAAATGTTCACGGACGAATCCCGAGTGACATTTGATGGATCTGATGGATGAGTCAAATGATGAATTTTATCCAATTCCTACGTGCCTGTGGCTAAAAGAAGGCAACAAAGAAGGGGTGGTGTTATGATATAGGCAGGAATTGTCGATCAAACCATTATTATACCATTTAAAATCGATGAATCAGTTAAACTGAACAGTGCTAAATATTGCGATTTTAGGAACAAGAATTTCTTTACGTGGTAAAAGCCCCAGTCTCGCAAAGTGGGATGTGTATTGACACACGATAATGCCCCTTCTCATGTATCTAAGCTTATACGTGAATTATTTGAGCATAAAATATTTACAGGAGAGAAGACTATGGAATGGCCACTATCAAGCCTTGATCTGAATTCGATCTAAAATCTATAGTCAATTGGGAAGATGAAATTATATGAAGGCGACAAACATTATAAAAGCAAAACAGACTTATTTGGAAGTAATTAAATCTACCATGTCACAAATTGAACCTGCTGGAGTAATTTATAAAACGATGGAAAATAGATTATTATTATTTGTTACTGAAAAAAAGAATCACTATATTAAAATGTAAAAGATTCAAAGACTTATTATATATATTTTTAATTTTTCTATTACAGGTATTGATCAATTATTGACTATTTTATTACATTTATCGAAGTAAAATGTCATTATTTGGTTTTTGCCTAATAACTTCAGACGCAAGATTTTTAAAATACATCAAAGAACTTCAATAACTTCAATAAAAGATATTGATACTATGTAAAATTTTAGCACAGGCCTTGTTTTTACATGTAAATTGATTGTTTAAAATTTTGTTTCAAACCAAATTTCAATTATTGTTGTTTATATGATTTGCTACATAATTTCAGACTAGGTGTAGATAGATAGATAGATAGATATAGATAGATAGATAGATAGATAGATAGATAGGTAGTTACGTTTGAACAGACCAATATATATATATATATATATATATATATATGTGTGTGTGTGTGTGTGTTTGTGTATATAGAAAGAAAGAAAGAAAGAAAGAAAGAAAGAAAGAAAGAAAGAAAGGAAGTGACAGAGAGAGAGAGATATGAAAGTAAAGAATAAGAAAGAAACGGACTTAGATAGATAGATAGATAGATAGATAGATAGATAGATAAAACTAATAAAGAAAGAAAGAAAGAAAGAAAGAAAGAAAGAAAGAAAGAAAGAAGAGGTGGACTGATCTAGATATATTTGAAAAGACATAGATAGATAGATAGATAGATAGATAGATAGATAGATAGATAGATAGATAAAACAAAAATGAAAGATCGGACTGAGAATGAAAGAAACAGACTGAGAAAGAAAGAAAGAAAGAAAGACAGACAGAAACTGACTCACATAGATAGATAGAAAGATAGATAGATAGATAGATCTGTTGCCAACAGACTGACAAATGAATGCCATTGTTGTAAAAAAAAACGACACGTGAAAGAAATATGAATCGATAAAATGTACATTAAGCCATTTATGACTGCGCCATTTCATCTTCTCTCCGGAACGACTGCAGACAAATTGCATTCAACGATTTCTACCAATCGGTTTCCACGGCACGGCTTCGTTCAACGGTGAATAAGAAAAAGACATCCCTGGAGTTGAACGTGACTTCCCCGGGTCTTCGATTGCTTCAATTAGACCCTGTTCTCTGTTTAGAACACGGAGGGTAAAGAGACGACTAATTAGGAAGCCTATCTCTCTCTCATTCTCTCTCTCTCTCTCTCTAGCTCTCTCTGTCTTACTCCCTCTCTCTTCTCTCTCCTTCAATTTCTCTCTCTTTGTCTTACTCCCTAGATTCTTCTCTCCTTCAATCTTTAATCTTATTTCTATCTCTCTCTCTTCTTACCTCCCTATATAATACCCAAGGACAGATTTCTGATGATGAATAAAGTGTTCCTAAGGCTCAAGGTTTTAAGATGAATTCTGCCAGCGCAGGTGTACGCCTTGTGTATGTCCATGAAAGCTAATGTCAGACAACGAATGAGCTGAGAAGACATTCCTTCTGATTACATTGGGCTTGAAAATCGTCACTGACAATGGATATACTATATGTTCATTGTCATTGTCTGGGCTAGTAATAATAATATATATATATATATATATATATATATATATATATATATATATATATATATATATATATAAAACAAATGTAACAAACCTCGTTGCTTAGTTTGCAAACACTTAATAATAGATAATGTATTTTCTGTACCCAACACCAATATCAAGATACACCCAAAATCACCTAACATGTGATAGCCATAACATAATCTACTATTTATTCTGCACCTTATGTCCTAATAGTGGATATATTGGTGAATCTGGAAATAATTTTAGATTTCGCTTCAACAATCATAAACAAACCATACGGCAAAACAATACTTATTCCCCCATAGCTGAACACTTTAATCAATCAGGACACTCATTAGAAAACTGTAAATGTTTATTGATAGATTCTGATTTCAGTTCCACATACACACGCAAAAAAATAATACTGGATTTTAAAATTAAAAACATATAAATTAGGGTTAAATAAAGACTAGGATATTTTAAATCTTTATAAATATTTCAACAGATAAATATTTTTTTAGATATAGTTAAAATATATATATATATATTTTTAAACAACATCTAAAATATTATTACAGTTACGTTAAGAATATTCGAACACAGTGGCGTTCTATATCGCGACGGACGCTACTTGTAAACAAACAGTTATTTCTGAAGAAAGATTGAGGTCAATCTGAAATATCAAATATATATATAAATAAATAAATAAATTCATAAAAAAAATTATTATTTTTTTTAATTTGCAAATTTATATATATATATATATATATATATATATATATATATATATATCATCTGAAGTGAATAATTATGTCTACATCACTGGTAACAAGCGTAAGACCTATTTCAATAAAAAAAAAAATTTACAACGATTGCAATGTCACTAAAAAGGTGTGAATAAACACATTTTTGTTCTATCTGTAAATCAATTAATTACACCCCACCCCGCCAATTACGAGAGCAAGTCAAAATTTCCCCTAATTTCGCCATAAAATATATTTAGGCAAGTCACCCTGTCTTCTTCTCATGCGTACTTACATTTGGTACTATTGGGATCACTTGATCGTAGTTTGAGCGTGACCCCGCCAATTTTCTTTCTTGCTGATATTACAGTGTAAACATGGCCGCTCCGCTAGCAGTGTGTACCAAGGAGAAATAAAGAGCAGTGATCCGATTTCTTTGGTCGTAAGTTGTGTCAGGGGATAAAATTAATCGGAGGCCTTTACAGCGAATGTACATTAACCCGTAAAATTTTCACAGTTTTACTATTTGAAATTTCTGGTAAATCTTAATTCTTAGGCTAATAGTTTAATAAGAGCATGCTAAGTTCTACGACTCTAAAATATTCGTAGATTATATAGCGTCGTTAAATATTTACGATTAACAGCTTTAATAAAATATTGCAATAACAACCAAAAATATGAAGTAAGCGGGGTAGAAATATAAATACTGTAGAATCCTTGACGACAGGACTAAGTAGGCCTTCTGGATACGAGGAATTGGTTACAAAATCCGGATATGAGAGGTCATATTTAGATTAAAATAAAAGAACTGTAATCAAGTTTAACGCTTATTTACAATGTTTAAACAGTATAGTAAACAAAATAGGCTAACGCTGAGTGAAATACAACGGAATTGATTTTAAGGAAAAAGAAATTATGTAATCTTAATGAAAATTCATTAAGTATGCCACGTATGCCAAACAAATAATGTAAGGAGGATTTTTTAATCACTGTTGCATGATGATTCTTTCTCTTCTGATGTCATTCTCAACTTTTTCCGCATTTCGTTTTGCTTTTGTTCTTAAATTTTTTAAACGAAACACTTTTAACTCTGCGTGCGTTATTGTAATCGTCAAAACTGAATGCTGGCTTTCTTTCCATAAAACTGACAACCTTTTCAGTAGCTTTTTCAATTTCAATCCGAGTTTCATCACAATCATGTTTTTAATTTCATTGTTTATTGTGACAGTGTGAACGCTGGAGATTAATTTATTTGGAAGATTTTATATCATAAAATGTTGACTTTCCTGCGTTGAATTCAGCCATTACTTACAATAAACTTTCACCAGTGTCTAGTCTGTTTAAAATTTCCACTTTTTGCGATAACTCCAAAGTTGGTCTTTTCCTCTTATTCCCATCATCTTTTGAACCAATACAAGAATTTAGAGTAAAATAAGCATAAGCAATTGTCCAAAGTGGATTTCCCGAAAAACAGTTACATTTAATTCAAATATACACATCCAAATCATCTCCGGATGTGCGGGATTCCGGATATGAGGCACTCCGGTTTATGAGGGATTCCGGATATGAGGCACTCCGGATGTGAGAGATTCCGGATATGAGGGTTACTACTGTATTTTATATCGAGTTAGTATCCATTCTGATAACAACGTTAGATGTTCTTTGGGGCCCACTGAAACACCTTGCAAATTTCGTCGTTAAATTCTTACATGTGTGTCTCGTTGACATCTTTTCCTCCTATTCCCATCACCTTTTGCACCAATAGAAGCCATTAGGATGAAATAAGTACAAGCAATTTTCCAAAGTAAATTTCCTGAAAAAACAGAAATTTTAAATCAGTTATATATCACTCAAATAGTTCAAATATACACATCAAAATCATGTCCGGATATACGGGATTCCGGACATGCGGGATTCCGGATATGAGGGATTCCGGATATGAGGGATTCCGGATATGAGGATTTCTACTCTATTTGAAATTGACAACTTTTCCTGACGTTAAGCAGTTCTATATGCGTGGTTTACAGAGATTAAGCTTTTCTATCTACGCTTCTTTCATATTTTTCTCGTTGAAACCAAGTAGCGCTTTTGATATGTCCTTCATCTTGCCACGTGATCAAAACGGAATATTCCATTATTTATGAGGTATTCACAAGGCTTAACGGTCAAGCAAACGAACGAACAGCTTGAAGACGAGCATAGTTATTATATAATAGAAAAATATTTATTTTTTTATCGATTAAGAATCGAAATCTGCATAATGATATCAATAAGTTGTGAAATCGGTCGCAGACATTTTACGGCTTTATTTCGTTATTTACAAATGTCGAATTTATAATCGTGCTTACGCCATTGATATATGAGTATTTTATTTTTTTTATTTTCCGAGTATTTGAAATCTTTTAAATCCTGTTTCATTTCTAATACTTTTACGGGAATGTTTTTTGTAACTCACGTGCCAACATTGAGGAATAATTCTTATCCTCAATAAGGTATAAACCGATATATAGATTTATTATTCCTGAGATGAAGTATTATATACACTATTTACATTATTCGGACTATTGTCCTCATCTTTGTCGCCATATGTATTACAAAGTTTCGGCCCTTCAGTATCTCCCTATATTTCTAAGATGAGGTATTATGTACACTATTTACATTATTCGGACTATTGTTCTCATCTTTGTTGCCATATTTATTACAACGTTTCGGCCTTTCAATATCTGTCTATATTTCTGAGATGAAGTATTATGTACACTTCGGACAATTGTCCTCATCTTTGTCGCCATATTTACTACAACGTTTCGGCCGTTCAGTATCTGTCTATATTCTTGAGATGAAATATTATGTACACTATTTACATTATTCGGACTATTGTCCTCATCTTTGTTGCTATATTTATTGTGACACTATTTAGGTTGCTAGAAAGAAAGAAGAGAAAAAAATGAAACGCGAGAATTAAATTTAGGTGATAAGAAGCCATCACGAAAAGGACACTAAGCGATGTTATTCTTTTTAACAAAGTAAAATGCTAAAGGTTTTATTCTCATTAGCGAGGAAAGTAAGGTCGCTGATGTGTCGGATTTAATTTAATTCATGACGGCGCACCGAATGGTGAAAATTTCGGGTCGGTCAGGTGACCTACAGGGCAGAATTCTAAAGAGATAAAAATTAATTGGGTGGCAGAAAAATGTCCGTTGGACCAACCGCAGAATTACAAAACAAAATATTAAACCATTAGCTATCTACGGAAATGTCGTTTGGAAAAGGCACCTGTTTATTGTCAAGAGCTGGCTATGATAGCAAAGTTATTTTATCGGAACAGATAAATTGCTGTAGCGTCCAGGTCGCCAGATGACCACCCACTTGATGCTGGCGAAAAGTCTCAATTGATAAAGTCCAGGTGATTCGGTTAAGATAAGCGTCTAAGGTTTGATGTTGGGCAGAAGAAAAGAAAAAAAAAAAAAAAAAAAAAAGATAATTTTTTTTTCTTTGAGCAAAATTTTTTTTTTCCGAGGCTAATCTGGCGCCCATTGGCTGAATTGGCTGAATGTGGCGTGAGCGTTAGGCGGAGGTAATCATGTGAAGAAGGAGGGATGCCTGTTGACCCCCCCCCCTGAAGGGATCGGTGTGAGATGCCACTGTGAGAGAGAGGGGGAAACCTGTTGACGCCCCTGAGGGGATTAGGTGAGATACCCATATGAAAAAGAA